TTGGTGGCATGCTGTGTCCTAATATACTTGAATAAAAACATCACAACTCCCAAGATAGGGACTTTAACTTAAAAAAATAAAAAAATAAAAAAAAATAAACAAAACAATTCTAATTATTCTAAAAAGTTCTTTCAATCTTAATAATAATATATTATTATATATATATTACAAACTTTTAGCTTATTTGCAAACCAATTCTGACTATAACCAGAAAGTTATACTAATTTTAGTAATGCTATACTAGTTTGCAAATCTTATCTTATATTAGTTAGTTGATTCTAGTTTTATTTATTATAAACTTTTATATAATATAATTAAAACCTAATTTGATGTTTTTTTTTATATAAGAAAGTTATATACTAATCTTTTAGATTTTTTTTATAATTAGATTATTTAACTATACCAGAAGTGCTTTTAATTTTAGTTAGACTAATTCTTTATCACAGACTGTTTTTATGTTTATTATTTTTTTTACTATTTTAGTTTTAGTTATTTTCAGTTTAGTTTTTCAATTAAATTCTTTTCTTAGATTCCAATTAGAACTTATTTACACAATCTGTTAATTATTCTTCTAAGCAAATATCTTACAAATTAAATATAAAGATATTAATACTATTTATATTAAAAAGTATAAGAATGTTAATGCTATTTTAATCTTACAAACTTATATATACAATTTTTCTATAACTGTAATATTCTATAATATTACTGATATATATAATATCTGCATTTTATAAATATATCTCTTTTTAAAATTTCTTTTATTCAAATTTATATCTGCATTTGAACTTTTTTATAGGATTTTACATTTAATTAATGACTTTAGTAAATTATAATAACAAAATTGCTTTTAACCTAACTCAAACTATTGATCTTGTCTATAAAGAGTTTGAAAACTTATCTGCTAAGCTATAAGACTCAGACTTATAATAATTTATTTAAAAACTTATAAAATATTTTAAAATTATAATTATAATTTAAAAAAGTTTATTTGATTTTATTATTAAAAAAAATTTAATTGCCTTGTATATAATATTGAATTTTAAAACTATTTAAATTATAATGCTAAATATATGTTTGTTAAATTATATACTTCTTAGATTATAAATACAAAAAAAGCAATATATAGTATAATTAGATTTTATATTTCTCTTATTTATACTATATAAATAATTTAATATTTCACTAATTTGTATTATTAGATATATTATATATTATAAAGATAATAGTTACTAAATTATAAGTAATTAAATATATAAAGAATTTTGGTATTTTTTTAAGAATTTTTAATTATTTATAAATAAACTTAAGATATAGAGTTAAGAATACTCTATTTATTCAAATTGCAATAACTTAAATAAAGTATAGAATTGAAAATTTTTTATTAAACTATAGTTAATAGAATTAACTATTATATATTTATTTCATAAAGTATTATAATAATTTTTTATTTTTATATATAGTCTAGTGCAAAAGGTTCACATTCATAAAAATTTTAATTAAAAAAATCATATATATAAACTTTATTTTTTTTTAAGCAAAAATATTTATTAGGTTATCAGATTTATTAATTTAAAAAAATTTTTTACAATTCTTCATCAATATCAAAATTATCATCATCACTCATTTTCTCATCTAACAAAATTACATTATTATCTAATTCTATATACTCTTATGCTCTTGCAAGTGTTCTTTTTCAAAACCCAACTACTATTTTCAGATTTATTTTTTCTTTAAAAGCTTACAAAAGCTTATTTCTCAGGTCTAAAAGATTCAAATATAGACCTAATCTTGCTATTTTGTTTTTTATGACCACCTAGATATCTTTAATCAGTTGAAGCTCATAGTAATAGGGTGGAGTAAAACTAACCTGATGGCTATATTGTTTAACTATTTTAATATAAATGAATAGAACTTTTTTTTTGTTCTGTTAAACAAGTTCTAAAAGTTTAGTCTAATGTAAATGATTAGAAAAAGAAATTTAGTAAGTATTTAATTATTCAATTATTTTAATTTTTTTTGTACTTGAAATTGGAATTTTTTTAATTTATCATTTATGGTAACATGCACTATCTATATAAATAATTGATGTACTATATGTTTTACTTATTGTTTTACAAAGTGTTGTAAAAAGATCTTTAAACACATTAGCATTAAAGCTTTCATAGTAGTTTATTTGATTAAAAATAATATTAAAATTTTTGACAATATTTGAAACATTATTTCATTCTTCAGCATTATTCCTTCTTTATCCTTAAGTTCTTAGTAGTTTAATCACTAGATCCCAAACATAAACCAAATTTGAAACAAGTTCACCATGTATCTTATTAGTATTATTATTTTGATAAACAGCAATTACATTAAAGATTATTAACAATGGACTACACTTTGATATTAAATGACACCTTAATGAGAAACCTATGTTTTTGATAATGTATAGTGCAAATGGCAATATAATTTATCGAAAAAATTTTTGAAAAGTATGTTACATTATTAATACCTTTTATATTAGTAAAATGATAATAAAGGTAATAATAGCAAAATGCAATATTGACTGGTGATTCATAGAGGATATTTTTTCATTCTTCTTGTTTATAATAATATCTTAACTTGTATAGTAATCTAAGAAGTTGTCATTTGGAAAGTAACTAACTATTTTTAGAAAGAAATTGTAATAAATATGATGTAAAAAGTTTCTGTTCATCTTTATTATTTTCTAAAATATGTATTTGCAAAAGTAATATAATATCTTTATTTAATTCTAATTTGAACCATCTGATTTTTTAGTTGGATGAAAAGATACTATTATTTTGTTTATTTTAGTCAAACAACACCATGCCAACTGTATTCTTAGAAATGCCAGAAACTAGAACAACTTGTTTGTATAATGTAAATTTTTGCTTTTATTTAGTTATAAAAATATCACTAAAAAGGTATCTGTGAATGTTAATTACCATCTGTTTTTTATTATCTGTTAACAGAATATGTGTTTGATTTTCACAAAAACTAGATATAGAGAAATTGAAAAAATTAGTGAAATGAATACATTTGAATATATTCTATTAGCTATGTAAATTTTAACTTATTTAGACTAGTACATATTTTTTTATTATTATGATAATTATAACCTTTTATATTAAGATACAAATCTTTTTGCACTGAACTATATAATTAATTAAAGATAATAAATAATCTAAAATAATTCAAATAATTTAATTACAAATAATTAGTTATTTGTTATTTCAAAACCCAAATAATCTTAAAAGATTATTTAATATTTGTTAATTAATAATTTAATACATTTTAACTAATTAAAATTAATTATTTTACAAAAATAAAAAATAATTAATAATTGTAACTATATATAAAAATTAAAATTTTATTAAATTAATTAATATTTATATCTTAAATAAAAATGTTCAAAATATATATAATTTGTTTTTTGAAATAATTTTATTTAAAATATAAATATTAATTAACTTAGTAAAATTTTAACTTTTATATAATTATTAATTAGTAAATTAAATATTTAAAATCTTTTTATATTAGCCATTTGACTAATAAAATTACTTTATATATAAATGATTCAAATGACCTAATAACCTGGATCATTTAGTCAAATAACTAGGTTATTTAAATTTTGAGCAAATAACCAGGTAATTTACCATCCTTGCAATTAATTGTTGTTTATTTCATAATTACACATTATTTAAATTCTTTTAATACACCTTTATTTACTTAGTATAAACCAATATTTGTCTATTATACGTATAAATCAATAGTAACTATAATAAGCTGTTTATTCTTAAGTTTTCAAAAGTAGTTAGAGTGTAACAGTAGTTTAAAGAACACCTTATTATCTAAAATTTTGTAAACTTGCATATAAATATTCAGTTTTATCTAAAAGTAAAATTTAGTTAATTAGCATATATAAATATTTATATATTATAATTAATGACATGTCGACATGGCGGGCCTCATATCTCGAACCTTAGTTGAACACCATAGTTACTATATCTCAAAAACGTACTAGCTAACACCTCTCAGAGGTACTAAGTAAAATGTTCAGAACTTCCAAAAACCTTAAGCTAATTAAAATTTAAACCTTTATACTGTACGTATCTAATCCCTAACTTACTTTGTAACTGCATTCTAACCCTAAATTTTAGCAAAAAAAAAACCTTTTAACACCATAAACACCATAGATGCATTTTATAATTACTGAAATTTTATATAAAAAAAGACTAATATTTTTTTTTTAGATAATTTAAAATACTACTGTATTATTAATAACTATTTATTTTTATACAACTTTACAAAAATTGTTTTATGCGTAATACTTTGATTATACAGTAATATACAGTATATGCGTAGTTATACAAATATAATAAAAACTTTTTTTTTTAATGTTTTTAAAATAAATTTGATTAGAATATAACTACAAGCTAAAAGATAGATAGATAAATAAATAAAAAAAACAACTTTAAATAACATTTATGACAATTTATAGATATCTAATTATATAAATATATATATTATTATTATATTTATATTAATCTAGATAGAAATATCATCGTTTTATGACAAATAACGAAATTAAACATATTAATATCAAATTGAACTTAGAAATGGTGTTTTGCATCATTATTGATGTTGTTTTTGTACATTTTATGTTGATTGTGATAACACACTGATTTCTTTATCATGATTTCTAATAATATTATGGTCAATATCGTTTTCTACAACTACTACACAAGTAGCTGCGTGAGTTCGTTGGAATTTAACATCTGTTTCAATAAATATAGTCTTTTTAATTATAATAAATAGTATTGTAATAGTTATAATGATTGTGATTACAATGCCACTTATAGTAGGTATGCAATAAGGAGATCTGGCATCAAGTGGACTTATATATCCGTTGGTTTCAGTTGGCAGACCATTCCGATTTGTAGGATGGATGGATTGCAATCGTAACAGTGGCATGTTGACAGTTGAAGTAGTTATTCCGGTTTGAGGGGATGCAGTAGACGAAATTATATAAGTATTTGAAATAATTGATGATAATATTGACGGGGTTATAGCAGAAACAAAACCAATTTGTGTTCCTGGTATTTGAGATAAAACCGGAGATGCCAATGATATTGAGTTTTTTATGTCAACTTGTATTTGAGTGTCTGTGGGAATTGGAGAAGACATTGGTAATGGAGTGATCATTCCATTATCAGAGTTGTTTTTTGGAGTGTCCGTAGGTACCTCAATGTTTTTGGATATTTCAGCATTACTTGTAGGTACACCAATGTTTTTGGATATTTCAGCATTACTTGTAGGTACATCAATGTTTTCGGATATTTCAGCATTATTTGTAGGTACATCAATGTTTTTGGATATTTCAGCATTACTCATAGGTACATCAATGTTTTCGGATATTTCAGCATTAGTCGTAGATACATCAATGTTTTCGGATATTTCAGCATTACTATTATTCGTAATTTGTACGTCTGCAGATATTCCAGTATTAGTATCGTTTATTTCTATATTTTCAAATGTGGGTAACTTGATGTCATCATTTATTGGCGCGTTTATTAGTGTAGATATTCTAGTATTATCGTTTATATCCCGTGTGTTCGCCGGTATGGCGGTTACTAGCGGTTGTAGAGATATATCACTATCGTTTACTTCTGCGTTTATGGATATATCTTTTGTTCCTGTGGGCACTTTAGTGCTTGAATGTTTAGATAAATTTATACCCTTTGAAACTCTATTGGAACTCAACAACCGTTTCTTTGATTTACGGGTTCTTTTCATCTTCGTCAAAAAAAAAAAAAAATTTATAACATATTCATATGTAACGCACACATGTAGAGAGAGACATATTGGATAGTTGGAAGAATGAAAGTGAAAGAATGAAAGTGAAAGAATGAAAGAGAAAGATAAAATGACATTCAATTTATGAATGTTGAGAATTTTAGTATCAATGGATGTAAAAATAATGAATGAATGAATTGTACATATTTATCGCTTTTGTTTTGTTTTGGACTCACATATATGTAGCTTATGTATAAAGAAATATAATTATCGTTATTGATTTATTGGTTCCTAAAATCAGGGTCACACTTCAATACAATAGTGGTTAAAAATATCCGTACGAATAATGACGCAGTTTTAATTTAACGTTTCCTATTCTTTTGGCAAACGAAATTGATCTTGGGAATTTATTAATTATAAACTCGAACTTAAAGAAAGCTTTACTATTACTCTTTTCTATTCGAATAGTCTATTTGAATATTAATACAGTTGACCCCCGTTAATATCAACCTAATCCACAAATTAAATTTTTATAAATTTTTATGTATCAAAATTCCCTCATATATATCAACTTTAATATAATCTCTCGTTAATATCACTATCAACATAATTTAAAACCAATCCAAATTGGTTGATATAAACGAGGGTAGGCTATATTAGAAAAATAATATATAGTTGTTGGATGATAAATATTTGAATATATTTTATTCGATAATACGCAGCCGGATATTACTCAACTAACGAACAACTCACCTAATATGTATAACAATATACATATTTCTTTGAGGATCATTTGCTAATATATATAGTGGCTACGGAAAAGAACCGAGTATGGCTAATCTATTTTCGATGTTTTTGTGCTTAAGGTTAAACGAATGCTACAAACTAATATAATGCTGATATTTCATCAAAATTATCAAAAATTAGATCGGCCATTTCTGAAATATCGGACGTTATTACCCAGATGGATGGTGCAGTGTTTCGTGATTTTAGGCTTAAATGAATCCTACCATTTATAATATTCATTTAAGCCTAATCGAAAATAGTTTAGTCATTTTCAAATTACGAAAGACATTTGTCATACATTGTTTCCGGATCTTTTTCGCGACCACTGTATTATTGTGTTAATTCAAAATTAACCCTATGTAAAAATACTATTGGTGTGTGTTTGCGTCAATGATAAATTAGAGTATATATAATACTAATACATCCTTAATAACTAGTGTGTAATTATGCATTCAATGAGAAATTTTATATGTAGTCTTTATATGTTTAGAACTAGTAAAAAATGTGATTGAGAAATCTATAGAGAATATATTTAGGAATTAAAAAATGGAGATAAAGAAAACTCGAGGTTTACCCTTAGAATTATTATATATGACTTATTAAGTTTTAACATAAACAGCGCTGGAGACATGGATCTAATTTTAATTGGTTATTGATCTTAAAATCATAGAACTAACCCAAAAATCTTTTTCGAAAAAAAACTTTCAAGGAAATTTTTTATTAGTGCGTAAAGAGTAATTCCATTTTTTGAATGAATTTTTTTTTCGTGTTTCTAACCCTGACATTTGATTGGTCAGTGAGTTTTTAAGGTGAAAATGTAGTCAAGTTACCAGTAAGCTTACCATGGTAACTTAACATGTATTAACAACCCTGAATCTTGAATGTAGGACGACTGTACATTACTAACGTTTCCAATGCTGACAAAATTCAAATTTATTACACTTTTCTGACGTGCATTTTGTGCCGGAAAAATCAAGCGAATAAATAGATACATACATACAACATGGGTGGATGCAGGGATGATAAAGCCAAGGTTTGATATGCAGGGTAATTAAATAAAGCGGCGTAGCTATTTGAAATTAGTGATTACTAATGATTTTCTTTTTTTTTATTAATTATTGTAAATATAAAATTAAATTTTAATTTAATATCTCTTTATTTAATGATAATTGTTTTTTTTATCGTGATGTATATAAAATCAAAAAAAAAAGCAATGTCATTTTAAAGAGAGTATAAAAAAATCTATCAAGAGGTTATTTGCTAATTTTTTTTAAATATAAATTATAGCTTAATCAGGTGACGTTTATGATCTGAATACGTATACGTATCATAAATGTCATCTGCTTATCATCATACGTATATTACATATATTACAGATTCTTAATGAAATCATTTGATGGTTAAATTGGTATTGGTGAAATTAGCTTTTCAATATTAAAAATTAATTTAAATTATGCCAAAAATTAATTAAAACTAAGCTAAATCAAAATACAATAGTTGTTTTTATAGAAATGTTGAAAATTAAAAAAATTTCACCCCAACTATATCGTCATAGCATTCAAAGTTATGGTTAGAGGTTTGTTGCCAATAATCAAGGCACATTCATAATGTTGTTAGCCGAAATGTCTAAATAAACTAAAAAAAAATATATAAACCTATTTATTAGCAAGTATCCGAAAATGATTTTTGTATATACAAAATAAATTTGATCAAAACGGTTGCTTGTCCTATCAAGCTAAAAGATATCTGCTTGAAATTTTTCCTAACCGTTTTTTTTCACAGTATTCACTATGCTAAATGTTTATAACTTGGATCTGGATTACTATCAATCAAAAAACTTGTTACTTTTAATATACAAGCCCTCTTTATCATTAATTTAAACTTTAGTCAAATTTAGGATTTTGACATTTCGACAAAAATAATGTCATGTCGAAATATATTGGGGAAATTACAGATAGGGGCCCGATATTTGAAAATTATTACAAATAAGGGCCCAAAATAATTTTGCGCTTAAAATCCCGTGATTTGATGACTCGAATGTGACTATAATCTAGTCATTAATCATAAGAAATATAGTCATTAATCATTAGACGCATAAGAAATATAATAATAGTCAATTAGTAATTTGAATATAAATTCAAATGCGCAATAAAAATTTATTTCTAGTTTGTTCAATTCGCTAACTCACTATCTGCGCTGTAGATTTATTCTAAAGTTGTTAACAAAAGTCAAGTTCTCGAATCTGTTTCGTATAACAAATGTCAGATACATTACAGATCGGCATGACTTTTACTAATATGGAAAATGTTTGCTTGGTTCTGGACAGCTACGCTGTTGAATCTATGTCGCCTTATAAGTTTAGAACTAACAAGCCAAATAAGCTGCTAGCTGTTTGTCCTACAGATGAAAATAGTTCATGCTCCTTTACTATTTCAGCTAACAAGCCAAATAAGCTGCTAGCTGTTTGTCCTACAGATGAAAATAGTTCATGCTCCTTTACTATTTTAGCTAACAAGTGTAAAGATGGTTACATTCATATTGTAAGACTAATTCCTCATGATCCAAACTGTCCAACTTCTATGAAAGCATTCAAAGCACATGGATCATATCTTGTAAAATTTACTATACCATTGGTTAAAGATATAGCAGCACTTTGACCTCATGATATTGTGAATCATGTTCATTCTGAAGACATCATATATGGTTGCTTGGAGAAGTAAAGCTATTAATAAAAAACATGATATGGAGGAAGTAAATAAGAGATATTAATTATTAGGTCATTATTTGACAATTTACTTATAGAAAACCTTGAAAGCATTACTGCATTTGAAGTTGATATTGAAGACTGATTCACCTGTGCATTTATATGTTTATAGGCATGGATTAATGTTACAGAATATTGTAGACCTGTGTTTATCTTCAATGCTTATCATTCAAAATTAAATTACAAAGGTATCTTTATTGGTGCAAGTGCAATTGATGGTGAAAACAAACTTATTCTAATAACATTTGCAGTTTTGTTCTGTTAAAAATACAAATAATTAATTATGGTTTTGTAATATTTATATATGATTATTTTGACACTAAATATAGATGAAACTGTAATTATAAGTAATCATGAAAAGGTTTTTTTTTAAAAAAATATGAATTTAATAGTTTATAATTTTAAATTAACAATATTTATAATTATTTATATAGGGTATTTCAGATGCAGTATGAACTGAACTTTCTTATATTTTCTATGCACATTGTGTATGTCATATTGAAAAAAATATTAATACAAAATTTTGAACAAAACTTTGTGACAAAATATGAATTGTGACAAAAGCATTGCATATAAAGGATTTTGATAATATAATAAAGGAAATTAATAGTTATATACAGAAAACATAATTTATTTAAATGAAATATTTCTAATAATATAGACTTTAAATAAGTGTTCTCAAAATAGATTTGGACATTTTACATCTAATATATATGTCTGAATCTTTTATTTCATAGATATATAATAAACATCTTGTAGAACCTTTTGAAGCAATTATTTTATTTGCTTACAAGATCAATATATTTTATTATAATTGTCATATAATACATGTTTCAGCACAAACAGTATTGTTACAGACAATCACTCAGCAACTTCAGTTTATTGTTAATAGTTATTATAATCAAATGGTTTATCAAATTGATAAATTAATTTTTGAACTTAAAAATAATAGTAATAACTTTTGTATTATGAATCTGACTTTATTAATATGTACTTGGCAGCAATTTCAAGAGTATCAGTTTCCTTGTATGCATGCTTGTGTTATCATTCTTAAAACACATCAAGAATTATCATAATTTATTAATATTACTTATTATGCACAGGTTAAATGAATAAATAAAGAGTGAATAATAGGTAAATAATAGAAAAAAATCTGTCATTATTCTACCTTATATCTGTCAAATAATAATAGCATAACTAACATAACAGCAGAATAATAGTAAAATAACAAAAGGTTTGTCAATATAAATAACATAATAGCAAAATAATAGAACAGTTCTATTATTTTACTTTTAGTCTTTGTAACTAAAAATAAAATAATAGAATTGTTCTATTATTTTGCTATTATGTTACTGTTAAGTTATTTATATTAACAAACCTCCTGTTATTTTACTATTATACTGCTATTATGCTACTGTTATGTTGTCATTATTTGACAAATATAAGGTAGAATAATGATAGATTTTTTTCTGTTATTTACCTATTATTCATCCTTTATTCATTCATTCAACCTGTAATACTAATATTTTTTAAAACATTTATAAAGAATCAGTATAACCAGTTGATGCAGAATCATGTGTTCTTGATAACAAAACTTTACCACCATCTGCATTTAGACAAGCAGGATGACCACAAAAAAATCACTTATGTAATTGTGACAAAACAACACCTGAAAACCAGGTAACTTGCAAAAAATGCAATAAAAAAAAACATAATTCATGTACATGCAATCTAAGACACAGAACTGCTAAATAAGACAATTTGTATCTAGTAGTTATGTAATTATGTTTGTGCAGTAACATTATAATAAATTTGCAATCATTAAATAATATACAGTTTATTTTCTTTGGGTTATTTAATTTTAACTTTTTTTAAAAAAAATTAGTACAATGATTACTCAAAAATTCTATTAATCCTGATATTATAATAGTAATTAAACCAATTGAATTTCAATAAAGTTAAAGGCATGGCCTCACCATTAATATTTTAAAAAAAATAATAGTAATTAAACCTGATATTATGGTAGTAATTAATCCTGATATTATAGTAGTAATTAATCCTGGTAGTATTGAATCCCATAGTATTTAATTACAATATTTTATGACAGATTGACTTTTTTTAGATTTAGGCCTTTATTTGTAATAATTTTCAAATATCGGGCCCCTATCTGTAATTATTTTTATTTTGGGCCCTTATTTGTAATTATTTTCAAAATCGGGCCCTTATTTGTAATTTCCCCAAATATATTTCGACACAAAATTGTCTAAATGTTTGACTAAATAGAGTATTTCAACTAACAATATTACACATTCACAAAACTTTTTCAATGCCATTTTTTCGAATTAAATATCCTTCGCCAGATTTTCAAGTAATCGATAATATATAGTAATATGACTTAACTTTACGTACTACGTTTTCATTCGACATTTGACCAAAATTTTATGGGGAAATATACCGACACAGCATACACGTGTTTTAATGCACAGCAAAATGGCCAACATTAAACTAATCGACACAGCATAGCCGGCACTAACCGCTAAATAACCAATCACAACTTAAACACGTGATTTTGAACTGATCCTAAGCACTGTCCGTAGATTTCCCGCAATTTTATTATTGGAAAATCATGACTTTTGGCCAGAGCTAACTCTGCATACATATATACTCCTTTTTTAGTAGCTTAATTATTGTCTAAAAAAATTAAAACTGTAAGAGGTTTTTTTTTTGATATCAAACTAATTTCTAAACTGTTAGTGAAAAAAAAGTTTTAGCGCAACTTTTATATGTTTAGACTGTTCACACCATAGACAAGTTTGAGATAAAAAAAAATTCAAAATTCCCAAATTATATATAGATTTTCTAATGAGCACTTTATTTTTAAAGGAACTTAGAACATAGATTCTTAAATGTAATTATAAAACTTAAAATCATAATTTTTTTTTATGCTTGATTACATACATGATTGCATACATTTCTTTTTAGATATAATTTATTGATGAGGAAAAATTATATCTTTGCATATGGTATTAGCTTGTAAAAAGCTATCTATTGCGACGATTACTAGAGAAGATCGGGGTAACATGGCATAAAATTGTAAAATATATAATCTATATAATCTATTATTATACATAAAAAATAGTGATTTATGTTAATAAAACGTCTTGATATTGGAGAAATGCAAAAATGGTAAACTGTATTATAATTTACCTTGTGTATAGATCTAAGTATCCGTATATAGGTACGTGTGTATATGAATTAAGTATTCCGAAGATTCGCGATTAAATTTTACTATTCAACAATTCTCCCCCGTTAAGTCCACCTTCCTTCAGTGCGACTTAATGATGCAACTATATAACAAAACACAGCTAAAACAACCATAATATTACAAAAACACCGTTTAGCCCATCTTCGATACAGTGGATCATTTGAAAATAGATAACAAGCACCAATAACCCAAAATGGTAAAAAGATGAAACCATAAACATAAAAATTTTTAATTAATGGAGTGTTTTCTTGAGGTTGAATGGGTTCTAACATTTGAAAAGGATCAATTCTTTCATTAGGGGTTATTGTTATTATTGTTATTGATTGATTGTTTTCTTCGCTATTATTTGGATTATATACTGGAGGCATGTCTTGTATTACTGAATGATACGAAGGAAGATATTCAAAGTTATGGTCACGTGCACCATCAGAAAGCATAAAAATATGAGCGGTTAATGATGGAGTTGTAGAAGGATATTCAACGGTTGTTAATGATTCTTGCAATGGGTGTATTAATATTGGTGGTGGCTCTTGTAATGGGTGTATTAATATTGGTGATGACTCTTGTAATAATAATGTGTGTGTAATGACAGAAGATAATTCTTGAAATGAATGAAGTTCTTGGGACCCTTGAAGTGGAGGTGTCTCTTGGGATTCTTGAAGTGGAGATGTCTCTCGGGATTCTTGAAGTGGAGATGTCTCTCGGGATTCTTGAGGTGGAGGTGTCTCTCGGGATTCTTGAGGTGGAGGTGTCTCTCGGGATTCTTGAGGTGTAGATGTCTCTTGGGATTCTTGAAGTGGGGGAATTTCTTGTGACCCTTGAAGTGGATGTGACTCTTGAAGTGAGCATGATTCATGAAGCGAACATGATTCTCGAAGCGAACATGATTCTCGAAGCGAACATGACTCTTGAGGTGAACATGACTCTTGAGGTGAACATGACTCTTGAGGTGAACATGACTCTTGAAGGGAATGTGATTCTTGAAGTGGATGTGATTCATAAAGTGAGTGTGACTCTTGGAGTGGATGTGTAACGGTTGAAGCCACTGTACTGACATCATGAGAGTCCATTAGTATCTTTTTTTTTTTTTATATACGTTTTAAGAAGGAATTTGTTTTTTTTTTATTTTTATTTTTATTATTTGAAGGTTCGTAAAAAGTTCTTTTATCAAAAAAGAAAAAAAAACAAGATCAAACGTGAACTTTTATAAAGAAGGGATAGCAGCTAGAAAAGTAGAAAATATTTAACTAATTACTATTCTCAAATGAGCATGCTATCGACATCTCATTATTTTGTTAGAACCTTGAATGAACATTAATAGTTTAAATGCTCTAGTATTTATAAAAAAATTAGAACATATTTATGCGCTTTGTAAGCAAGAGTCACAGCTCTGATGTCTTAGAGGATTTACATAAAGGACTTATAAATAATCTTGTACAAAATAATAAAACCATAAAGTTGGATTACAGTCAATGATACCATACATGAGAGATTTGAACAAGGGCGATTAAACACAAAGGTTAAAATAATCCAATCAGAATTTAGGTTTAATAATGGTGTATACCACTGTAAATCACATGGAATTTGTTGCCGGTTATTTGAATTCTCATCGAATTATTTCATTTTTCCAAAAATTGGTGTTTTTATAGCTTTACTTGAACACGCAAAGATTATGCATAGTCATTCTTTGTTATTAACACCCCTTTGTCCACATCAACAAATAAAGGTGCCAGACGTAGATTAATTACTATTAATGCATATAAGTTTTCTTTAAGTCCTTGTTTATATTGTATGTATATATAATGCCTACTCATGCAAAAAATAAATTCCAATCTGCAAGATTTTCGATCGCAAGAAAAAAAAAATTTTTCTAATTTATTTCACTGTAAATATCACTGTAAACGTGTACCGGTTTTTCTATGATCATCATGCAGAACGCTTGTTCTGAAAAGTCTTGTTTTAGCTAAATTCCCGGAAAAACTGTACATTTCTTAATTAATATGACACGATAATAATATTTATATAGATTTAGTTGTTTAATACTAACTGTTTAATATTTGTTTTTTATTTTTTATTTACTCGCACATTAGAATTTAAAAAAAAATATTCTTAAGACTATTTTTAATAAGCATTCTTTAGAATTTCAATATTAATTAATTAATATTTTAAAAATAAATGTATATGTATATATGCTATCATATTACACATATAAAGATATTTAATAACCAATGTTTCAATTAAGGTAACATATAGCCACAATTATACGTAGCATTTTTTAATGTATATCGATATGTACTACATATTACAGTAAATCTTTACTATAAATACACGTACATTTAAAAGGCGTGTGCATTTACAAAGAGCACGTTCTCAAGGGATCTTATAAGCTTGAAACTAGCTAATGCGTGTATTGTCCATTATAAAAAAAAAATAAATTCTGTAACTGTATAATAATATCACTAATGGTGTAACTTTCAAAAGTAATATATGTAAAGTTGAGTGTGAGTTTTTTTAATGTTTTTATAAAACGCGAAATATATACAAAAATTAACACAAATATATTACTTTTACAAATTATACACGTAATATATTTTTTGTTTAATTATATTTTATCTTCATGATTATCATTATCATAAAGATTTCATATTATTAATCATATTTATTACAATTTTTATTCATTCACAAGCCAAGGTGTTACAACATTATAGATAATTGGATGTTGCAATACTTTAAAATTTCTTTTATATGGAAGGATCGCGATTAAAATCCAAGATGATTGAAAATTTTTCCATAAAGAGCGTTCGCGATTAAATTATTGCAACACCAATAAAAAAAAAAAGATTTCAAAGTTGGTTAGTTATTATTAGAATGCCTTATACATAGAAGGTTTCATATTATTAATCATATTTTTTATTACAAATTTTTTTTTCCATTTAACGAGTCAGAGTGTTACAATGTTGGAGGTAAACACTTGAAAGCCTTTCTCCATATGGAAGGATCGCAATCAAAGTGCTTTAAAACTCTCGAAAAGTTTTTCCATATAGAAGGTTCATGGCCAAAGTATTACCAATCAAAAAAAAGTTGGTTATTTATTAGGGATGTTATTCAAATTAAACTAAACTTTTGATATAGCTTTCCGAATTCCAATATCAAAGTCCAAAATTAGATCGGTCCTTCTTTTTTTATACATTTCCAAAAATCATTTATCCAATTTTTTTTTTTTTTTTTTTGTCATTTTCTAATTCTTCCATATAGTCATAAAAAAAAAAACTCAAAATTTAACAAAAACCACTATTATAGAGAATCATAGAAAATAACGCCGTTATTTACCCTACTTTACGCATAACACTACTCACTTTGCGCATAATACTTTACACATAAAACTCTGCTTTGATATGTATTAAGAAAAAGATTATGTTTCTGCGAGAAATTCTATCGACTCCAGGAAACAATACTACTTTATTGACACAAATAATGCTCGTACATAAGGATGATTAAAGCGCTTCCAAGTTCTTGGAATATAACACGAAACTGTATGAAATGATACGCGATAAAAATAAGGATTAATGATTCTTTGTCATCATCGCTTTATTGAATGATGTGATATATTGATGCATCTTTATGTTCTCATCAAATCTCCAATTAATGTTGATATTGACTTCAATTAAGTAATAAAATCTTTCATTATTTCACAATTTCTCTTGAATTCCACGTAAAAAGAAAAAATATGAACACTTTTCACAATCCTTTAACAATCCTCCTCCTACTCATATTCATTACATTTACATTAGACTTTGTGGCTGCATTACGACAACTTGAACCACCAAACCCGGATGAAATTACAAAAGGTATGATACCGTCAAGGTCAACTGTCGAACCAGAACCTACAAAATCTAAATACAGAGGGAAATCGATTGGTGGAATTTCAGGATTATTGGGTGGTCTTTCTACACCAACTTCTTCAATTATGGACAATAATATTCATCATCAAGCAACTCCTATTTTATCAAATTCTATAAATACAATGCCTTCTACAAGACCTGTTTCATTTACTCCAAATCGTATTCTTTCTAATGAAGTTCCTAAAGAAACGCAAAATCCAACCCCTTTTCATAGCAATTTGGAAAATTCTGGTATTTTTAATGGTGGTGAAACCGCATATTCATGGATGGTTCTAAGTGTTGTTTGTGCTTTTTTAATTGGGTTTATTGGATTTTTATCGGTTTAATTTTTTTTTTTAAAAAAAAACAACTATAATATTAATTTATTAAAGTTTTAATTATTGTTGTATTAATTAGATTATCGGTTATTGTTATTTGAATAATGCATTTTATGTCACCTGATTTTATGTGTATTCGATTTTCTTTACATTAATTTTAGCCTTAATTAACATTAACATTAACGTTAACCTTAATGTTAACTTTAATGTTAATAATACCATAAGTATTAAATGATAATACATATATCTCTAAAAATAATAAGTTATCTTTGAATATTGTAAATTTCATTTTTTAAACTCTTGTACTGTTCTTTTTTTTTTTTGTTAGTTACATTTTTGTTGAATAAAAACTATCTGCTTTGCGCCTAGTCGAAGTGTTAACTTTTCGATACATGATTCAGTTTTTTTTTGTAAATATAGCACTCTTAATGCAAGATACTTTAATTAAGACAGTAGATTCAAATGATGATTTTTCAATTAAAATTTTACGATCAAATCAATTTTAGAGTTATGGTGTAAGTTTATTTTAAAATTCCAATTTTTATCAAGAAAATTCCAAATCCACTTAAATTCCGTCTTTACATACTACATATATACATAGCAAAAAAAATTTTCATAAATTTTTTTTTTTTTATCTCCTAAAAGAATATTTGTAAAAGTGGTATCTAATTATCGTATACAACCTATTTCAAGGTAAGGTATTATCTTGTTTTATCTGCTAATTCATTCGAAAATGGAACTAACTAAAATGTAGCTTATCAAGGATTCATAGCGATAGATGTTGAAGATGACAATGCAAAGGAATTTACACGTGATTATTAAAATTTCTGGTATAGCCGATAAGTTAAATGAAAAATGAAAAATTAGCATCTGAAATTAGTTTTATAAGGAGTAATGGATATTTTATATCTATTACAAGAAAATTTAATCATCCAAATCACGGCTAGATCGTTAGAATTGAGTTCCAAAAACCTCTTCACAGTAATTTCATTAGGACTGGGTGAAATCCGCTACGTAGATCATGTTAGAGTGAAAACAGCGTCTAGCTAGGTTTTTATTATCGTTATGCAAAAGCTGAACTATATATCATATTGCTGATTGGATGATCTCTTTGTACTGTGCCATTATGTTTATTAATCATATCGATATGGCTATTTTTGTGATATTTCCGAATTAGTGTTTGGAACCGGTTTTATTTTTCTTATGTTAAAACCGGTTTTAATCGGATTTAACATATGAAAAATAAAACCGGTTCCAAACACTATTCCGAATAAGATCTTCAAAATTTGTACCAATAAGAGTGGTCGGTTAAAGTGGAATGAGTTTTAGAGTTACTTTTTTTTGATGCAGTTATGATGAGTGGGTTATATGGATGTCAAAAATATAATTTATGCAGTGTGTAAATCATATATTGAATTAACTCGACCCCCAATAAAAGTAATTTTTGAATTTTTGTGGTGATAACTGCGAATTTATCCTACATTAAAAATGAATCCCGTGATTAAATAACATTATTCCATGTTTCTATATGAACACGAACCAAGCGTCGCCCCAAAAATCAGTTACGGTTTAACCATCGGAACTATAAATTTGATTGAGTTTAATTTTAGATTTTTGATTAAAAATAAATTTTTTAAATTACAGTAAGCGATAAAGCTATACATTATTTATTTATTTACTTTATATTGCAAATCGAGCAAAAATCGGAAAATTTTTTATGAAAAAAAAACTCATTCTGAATGCTTAACATGTATTAAAGAAAGTAAAAAACGAATATATGAAAAAAAGGTTTACTTTATCTGATTTTTAAAAAAAGCGTTATTGATGTCTGTACATTTCTCGTTATTGATGTCTGTACATTTCTTAAAAGTCGATTTGCTCTTCGCATTTAGTTTCATCACCACTAGGAACAATTCTTTTTTTTCAATATGTTAATAAGGTTCAAAACAATAATAAAAATCCATTTCTTTTTAAACCCCTGCAAACTATATACCCACCTTGTTATCTAATCCTGAAGTGAAATATTGTGATTATAAGAAATTCAAGATAGATCTAAGTATGGACGAATATTATTTAAGTGCCAGTGATGTTGAGGTCACAAATGATTATTGAATCAAAAGAAATATCAGTGAAGGTACTATTTATTTATTTTATTATTATACAAACTATTTATACAGTCAGTTTTGGATATAATGAATCTCTTTGTAAGAACTTTAGCTATAACTAATTTAGAATTTAAAATTTTATAATAATTTATTATAGAAGTGTTATGGGTCCTTAAGAAAACAGTAATTTTCTATAAGGAATTTGTTTTTCTTTCAGAACTAGTAGAATTAGTAGTACATTATAGAAAGAGTTAACTATATTTTTTTACATATTAATAAAAATAATTTATAAGTGATAATATTACTTTCTGATTATTTTAAATAATATAATCATATATTTTTACAAAATACAATAACTATATAATCATTTCTCTTTTAGTTACAACTTAAATTTTTTTAAAACCCATTTTCTATTAAATGGTTAACTAATATTAACATTATCAATTCTTTAAACATTGATCAAAAATTTTATACATTATTTTAAAATTATTAATAATAACTTACTTATTATGCAAAATCTTAATTTATATAAATTTTTTTATATAATATTCCAAATTGTATTTATTGCCAAATTTTGAAGATATATTACATCTTTTTACATATTTTAAACAAAAATATAATCTTTAATGAATTCTTTAAGCTTTAATTTCAAATATTACTTATTAATTAAATTTTTTTTTTGAACTTGTAGATAAAATTTATATTATTTTGTTATAATAATCAAATATTCTATTATATTCTCATTTTTTTAATTTTATTTAAGGTTTTTTTTTTATATTTCAATATAATAATATTAAAATATTATTTTATAAAATAATAATAATATTTTTTATAGCTCTATTAAATACTTCTCTTAATTGGTTTCATTAACATATATAGCTATCATACAACATTCTTCAATAACAATAAAAAATGTTTGTAATATAACTAACAAATCTAAATGCAAGTAATTTTAGTTAATTTAAGCTAATAAAATTCAACTAATTAATAAAAAACATTTATTATAATATAGTGTTATAAAGTAGATTTTAGCATAGCATATTATATAATTGTATTAGTAGTTATATATATATTTATTATTGTATTTTATATATTAAATTTATTATTAGTTATTAGTTATTAGTTAATCAATAGTTATATTATATAGTAGATAAATAAAAGGATCTTAATTGGTTATTAGAAAAGTGGTACAGCTATATAATACTAAGTAACATTTGTGATATTACTATTATCTTACAAATCCCAAGTATCTTTGTATAAGTTTCATATAACTTAGCATCAAATTACTGTGCCAAGTACTGCAGCACAAGAATTTCAAGTATTCCTAACATGAACTCCAAGTGTTCTTGTATAAACTCAAAGTATTTCTGTGCAAAGCCCAAGTGCCTTTGCACAGATCCAGTATTTAAATATAAGTCTCAAGTATTTTAAACACAAATAACAAATAATATAAATAATATTTCTAGTTGCTTCTGCATAGTCTCTACTACTCTAAGAACAGTATTATTTAATGTTATTTGAACCTCTATTATCCTAAGTACAATAATATCTAATATTGTTTGAACCTTTATTATTTTGAATACAGAATTAAATAATATTGCTCAAATTTCTACTATCCTTATTAGGTAAAAAGATATATAAATGATACTTTTTTCTCTTTCTTGTTAATTCTAAATTCTTATACTTTGATCTAAATTTTCTTATCTTTACCTCTAACTTGTAAAAGTAATATTTCTCTTCTAAGATAATTCTTATAGACAAGGTTGTTATTATGTGTTTATTTAATAAAATTAATCTATATACTGTTACTATCTTGAATTGTTTGCCTGCTGCTATGTAGTAAAATGAACTACTACACCTCTATCCTATATATATTTGTAATAGTTAATTATTGTACTAGGTAATCTTATTACTTGATTGTATTGTATCAAGAGACTACAACCTTATAACAATAGATATAATTTCTAAATATTGTTATTCATAAGAATTGAATCTTAAATTTGCTACTTGAAAGTTGACAATCTGTCTACTTTACTAGATTATCATATTCTATAATATATAATTAAAAATATAATAAAAGTAATAGCTACTACAAACATTAGTCTTAGTAAAAATAAATAAATAAATAAAATATTGAAAACCAAAATTTTAGTTAATAAAAATATTAAAAAATACAAAAACTATATATTCAATCATAATAGTACAAATAATAGATATAAAAAAAGAATTTAAAAACAAAAAACTTAGTAATAATTTTATAAGTGATTTATTTTATAGTAATAGAGTATTGTGACCAATTAAAATTTAAAATCAGGTATAATATGTAGATCATTTCTTTTATATAACAAAAATAACAACTTTTTAAAAAATTAATTATATTTTAAAATTTTGATTAGAAAATCATCTTCTGTATATTAATAAAAAAAAATTTTTTGCAAACTTTTAGTATAAGCTATATCTTGCCTAACTCTAACTTTAATCTTAATCTAACTCTAATTAAAAAAAAAGTTTTATTTTTTATAAAAAAAAGATTGTTTTAATTTACATATTATACTAATTATATGTTTATATATAAAGTAGCATTATAGAACTATAGTATTATAATAATATTTTTATTTCAAAATATATTAATAAAAAATATATATAAAAACTAAAAATAAATACAAACTATATTATTATAAAAATTGGGTTTCAAAAAAGTTTATTTAATTTTTATTAAAGCAAATTAAAATTTTTTATAAAAAAAAACAAATATAATTTATGTATTTATATTTTTTATAATTTTATTTATTTAAAAAAAGCATTAAAAAATTTTATCTTTTAAGTAAAGGTAGATCAAAATAATTTTAATTTCAAATTTAATTTTAGGTTTCATGTTTTCAAAATAATTTCATTCTTATATAT